CATAACTGGATGGATGGATGGATGGATGGATGGATGGATGGATGGATGGATGGATGGATGGATGGATGGATGGATGGATGGATGGATGGATTCTTGTCTGTCTCTTCATCCTGATATATCTCTGTCACTGTACCACAGCCCTTTTCTGCTGGAGTTGATGAGCAGACGGCTTAGATAAGAAATAAATTCAGGCTGAGGTAAAGGAGTTGATAAAGTTGTATGAGGTCTGATGAAGTCAGATGAGGCCGATACGGAGTGAGTGTACCACGAACCAAGGGAAATCAGGCGAGGGCAGAGAGCAGACACAAACACAGGAGGAGGAGTCGTGGCCAACAGGCATGAAATCTTCTCATTAATAAAATCTGCTGATGAAATTACAACAACTAATAAGTCACACTCCTACACTCAGACACATTCATAATTTTCCTCCTCCTCATATCCTCCACTGAGAAATTATCTGGTTGTTATTTCCATAACAGATTTTAGTTTCAGACAATCTGTTTCTAAAGGTAATGATTGCTATTTGTTGTTATTTCAGTTTTTAAAACATATGTCACAGCATTAACATAATCGACAACAATATCACTGAGACATTTGCTTTATTAGAAATACATAGTAAACACGTAACACAGATTTTTACCACAACACCTTAAACACACAGTATAAAAATACCTTTAAAAATAGCACCTTTTCTCTGGCAGGTAAACATGCAGTCATGAATATAGACATAACTTTCCCCTAAATAACCAACACAGCATTATAAACAAGTTATTGTGCTTGATTCTTCATTTTATAAAACAACTGTTAAAACTTTTCTAATATTATATTTATGATTGTTATGTTGGTCTGAAGAAGTATGGGGAGGTATTTGCATCCCTGTCGTGTTTTTCATAAAGAATATGTGCTGATGCATCAGTTTCGTTTAATGTGGCTGAGAATCAGCCTTTGAAAACTCATAAACAGTGTATAAAATGTAACTGCTTAGGTCTGAAAGTTCGGTTTAGAAGACTATGGCTAAAGGGCTAAGAATCCCTAGATTTCCAGGCTTTAACTAATCATATCAGGAACATCATAGAAGACTTGTATAAATGTCTGAAATAGAGTCCTACTGTGAAAGTTATAAAGCAGAATTAGAAGATTTATCGGAAGATTAACATGGATGCATATATTAAAAAATGCCTATAGCTGCAGAATTAAAAGGACTTTCTGTTTTTGAATAATATCTTGATGTTACTGAAAAATTGCTTGTTTGAAAAATAAACAAACTGTACTTTGATTTGATTCTATTATTAAAGTGATATAAAAATAAGGCATAAAGTATAGAAACATATTACTCTTAAGATTTCGTAGGAAAAGTTAAAGCTAGAAATATATCCCTGCTAACTTCTCAAAATCAGCCAAGCTACAGTATATGCTCTAGTTTGTCAGGTTGTTTCAGAAACTAATAACGCCTTAATTTTGTTTTTCTTTTTGAAAACAACTTTTTTTCTGATGGGCTCTGCAGTCAAAGGATACAGTTATTTGTCGTTCTAAATTCAAATCTGAAAATGATGGTCTCCATATATTTTGAAAACCCTTTGCTTTGATATAGGATTAGGTTGTAAAATAATATCCAAAGCTCTGAGTGTTTAAAAAAATATAGTGTTTGCCATTCATCTTCCCAAAATGGAAGGAATATGGAATGACCAACCCATGGTTTATCACCTAAAATCTTTGTAAAATATATGAAAATTTTTAGTGTTGACATGACAAAATGTAGAAAAGATCAAGGTGTTATAATGCTACTGGCGAGAAGAACCCACTTACTTGAATTACTTGTAACATTTTGACTTTTTAAGCTATGCAAATCAGCAGAATACTAACCTAAAAGAAGAAATAAACTGATAAAGCAAAGTTATAACCAGAAATGAAAGTGGTTGGTGTAAAAGGATAATGGCAACATTCATTAAGAGAAAAAAAAAGAAGTTTTCTGTACTTTGCTTTTAGCTCTGCATCTTAATTGCAGTTTTCTTTAAATCATTGCTTCCATTTAATTTCATATCTAATATGGGAGTAATTATTACACTGATGTGTTAATACACATTTTGCATCTCAGAGTTTCTCACTGGTTTAGCCTCTATGTAAACATATTCTTTATAACTTTAACCAAACACCAATAAAAATATATTTCTTTTGTATGTGCTACACAATAAGGTGAGTTGAGTTGTTCTTAATCTCTCCTTGCTTAATTTGCACTTATATGTATTACATATACTTATATGAATATGTATACTGAAAGGTACTAAAATACCTTAAAGCTGTGTTAATGATTTACTGTATAAAAAGATTTGTTTCTCAAGTTCAAGACATAGAAATAACATGGTGTCAGAATAATAAATTATGTCTAAACATAAAAACTGCAATTTAGTTTGGAAAAAAAATGAACTGGGAAGTAATATGGACCTTTGAAAGCAGCGTCAAGTCTTCCTAGGTGTGATGAAGCAATAAATAAACAAAAAACAACTGACATCTGCAACAAAATCAGCAAAAAACAAAACAACAACATTCTTGTGGTGGAGCAAAGGTAGCCATAATCACCGTGGTATTTCTAATGGTTGAATATCTGCAAAACAAAGCCCTCATTAGATCCAAGCCCTTATAATTCAATTAAAAAAACACTATGTGTTCCATCCGCTACCTTTGTTCTTCCTGAGGCAGGCCTCCTCACACTCCTCTTGGTGAAGGAACCGGTTGTTGTTTCCTTTGCAGCCGCTGTAGATGAAAGGCCTGCAGGCTTGAACCTGGCTGTTGAAGTACCAGCGCAGGGTGTACCTCTGACAGCTGCCCTCATCCATGGGCAGCAGACAAAGGTCTGTTAAACCTGCAGAACAACACACATGTCAGAGGTGTTCAAGCATGAATGCAAACAGAACAAGGGATGAACAACCTGCTGATAAAATGGAACAGAGGCAGAGGAGCAGTGGAATAGGTGGTGTTAAGACAACCGACACATTATTTGGGCAAGAAGATTGCTACATTTTAGTTATTTGAAAGGTAATTTTGCTGTCTTTTGATACCTGGATGCAGAGAAACTAAATGCTTCCAATGAAAAATAATAAAACAACACAAGATATTTTTTCCCCACAATAAAAAATAAATTTTGTTTTACCTTCCTCTTGCAGACTCCTCTTGGGCCTGACTGATCCTGAGTTCTCCCTAGTCAGAGGCGGAGCTTTCCCTTTTTTCTGACTTTTTTCAGACGTTTTTCCAGTGAAGGCTGCAGTGCTTGATTTATTTGGATCTACTTTGGCAGACTTTTCCAAAACAGTTTTTAAATCTTCACCTGACAGAGACAGAAATCATTCACAGAAACAGCAAATAAAGTCCTGTTAACATTTCACTAATTATAAGAACCGTGTTTAACATTATAATACAAACTTATTGTAAAAGACAGGGAGTTAAAGCCTTGCTGCTACAGAAATGTAGACTTGGATTAGAGGGATTTATTTAAACTTGACTCATAAAAATAAGTAGTTAAACCTAATAAAAAATAGAATACCTTCAGTGTGATTGGCTGATTCTGTGGAGAAGTAGAGCAGGTCGTCCGTGGGTTCGTCCAGGGCCTCAATGGAATAGATGTGCTCGTACTCTGGGTCATTGGTGTTTACCACCACACGCAGCTCCCGTCCTGACACAGGGGTTGCATCACACTGATCAAAATCCTTCATCTCACTCTGAAACTCTTCAACTCTCTGACAGAGTGAAGAATAATGATGACTTACAGTGACAACAGAGTGTGCTCTGTGCCTTTCAAGTTTGCCACAGCCGAGTCTACTTCTAGACTCCTAATAGGGTCTCAATATTTTTGCTAACAAAGCTGAAACAAAACTTTATGGTCACTATGACAACTTTTTGTTAAAATCCCTTTATGTAGCCAAGAATTTGCTTGCTTCTTATATTGGACTTGGTTTTTATATTTTGTTTACCATCATAATTAATCTTGTAAAGCTGCTGCATGTTCTTGAATCTATAACAATTATTTCTGTCTTTTAGGTTTTCAGATTTTTATGTCACTACTTTTATGTCCTGTAATTATTTTTAATGTTTAATTAAACCG